CCCCCCCCCCCTCCCCCTCATTTTAGAGCACACCAACCAGAATACAGCCGAGCACTCTATTTGGAAAGGACCCTGTCATGCTAAAACACACATGACTGCACATGCAAAAATATTCACATGAAAGTTCAAGGGGATGTACTCAAATCACGTGTGTCTGCTATGCGGTATACTCCCAGGGTGCAAATAGAATTGTTATTATTATTGATTAATCTGCAGATTATATTTGTAATGAATCCCTTGGTTTATAAAATGTCAGAAAATTGTGAAAAATATCTACCTAAATATATTAAAAGTTCAAAGGGATGTCTTCAAATGTCTTGTTTTGTCAATGTAAACACTTAATATACTCTGTTTAATGTGTTTTAAAACAGGAAGCCTCCTAATTTGATAGGCTTTAAACATTTTCACATGAATGATGACATAAAGGATTAATCCATTATCTCGTAATAGTTGCTTATTATTTTCTGTCGATTGTCTAATTTTTCTCTATTTGTCTTTGCAGCTCTATTTACATCTACACCTGCACACACTTTCCATGTACTGTATGCCTGCATGTACCCATATATGCACAGATATACACATAATATGTTTGCATAATCATGTACATCCAGATGATGACGTGCAACAAAGGTCCTTGGCTGCAGCGGGACGTCACACACTGTATGCTTCCACATGTGAGACACATACAATGAGGCATATGTTACATGCATATTATATAAACACATCTAATTTGATATTTTTGACATATCTAAATGTAAAACAGATCAACACTGCAAATACATATTTAATGACAATGTCAAGGATTAAACAGTAAAGTTAAAGACAACGTATTGCCATTGTTGTTCTAACCTACACATATACATACACTAAAAGATACATCCATAACTACAAATGTGTGCATATATTCTACTCACAGCAATTCTACAATTACATTTATAGGCTACTGTATGTCAACATGTTCAAAAATATCCACAAGCTTACTGTACACTCTCACGTGCATCAATACTGCAGATGTTATGCACTGAATAACGCATGATGTGTCTGCGAACACATGTGTGTTTATTGACATGAACACACAAATCACATTATGCCTCAAAAATATGTCCTGCCCAATCAACACACAAAAAAACGTCCAGTCAGCGACATATTGCTGCCTTCGCACAGAAATGGCATCCCCGATAGTGACAAAAGCCACACAAAAAAACTGACATTCACCGGCACACACAAACTCTCACACGCTCACGATCAACACAGCAACTCCAGGCTTCAGGCAGGAGGGGTTGCCTAGGAAACGGTGGGAAGGAACCCTAGTTATTTGTGTTGAGCATATTTTCATTTGGGCTGAAACAGAGAGGCATAAAAACCCCAGGAGAGGGAGAGAGGTGATTTGTCCTGACAGCTCCTTTACTCTCCCGAGGTGTAACACAGACACACACAAACACATAAACGGACGAATGCACATGCATGAACACAATCACACACACTCAGACACATACATAGATGCCAAATCCCCCCCCACTCCAGAGCACATCAAGAGAAGTAAATCACTCGTGCCATCACAGGAATGTCAGCAGGGGAGTGTGTGGGTGCACAAGTTAGTGGAAGTAGCCTTGCATGTGCAGCGTATCATGAACAAATAACTTCTTTAATGATCCTTCTCTGCCTCTTTTGTCAGAAGCAGGCAGATTCCCTCTGAGTTTCATGCTTGGTCTCCATGCATGCTTCTTGCTGCAGTATTTTGGTGTTGCCTCGTTCATAGCGTGTCTCTCTTGCTGCTCCGCTGCACAGTTTGAAAACCGAGCACTCAGAGCCGATGGATTTGTTGAATGATGTTTCCCAGGGTGCAGCATTTTTGCTCTTTGTAACTCGGTGTTTGAAGAGCGAGACTTTCCGTGTGGATAATAGCGTCTGAAAGGCAGAAAAAGAAGTGGATGCATTAGCGTTCATGGGTATTTGTCTGAGGCTGGGTATCATGGCGTTTAAGTGGCTGACGCGGAGGGGATACATGATGCAGTAGGCTCCCAAAAATAGCGCTCCTTTAAAAAAAAGGAAAAGGGTTACATAAGGGGTGTCTGTGCAGAGCCTTCACCTTGAGCCTGGGGTTGTTCTTTTTTTGGGTGTCATACCCGGTGTGGCCACAGGAGGTCGCCATGGGTTGCAGTTTAACAGCAGCTCTGTCCTTGTCAGAGCTCCCTCTTCTGTGGGCCGTCCTGTGGAAAAGCCTTTCAGGAGAGGATGTTCAAGGGCATCCTCTCTCTCCTCCATACTTCCTGTTACATCCCTACGTCTCTCTCTTTTTCCTGGCTCACTCGACTGTCTTTTCTCTCATACTCTTCCTGAATCTTTTACATCTCTGTCGTCTGTTCTCTTTCCTCTCCATCAGTGTCTTCACAGGCCAATGCAGTCTGGATTGAGTGATGTAAGGTTACTTTAAAGTCTTGTTTGCTGTCAGACCAGGCAGTGGAGAACACACATTGTCTCTGTTAGACAAACCTCACATTTAAAAGCTTCAGAGTTCATGTCTAGGTTTAAGTAGAGGGGTGTTTTCCGCTTTATTTCTCTGAAAAATATAAAGTTGAGCCCATAATATCCCAGGCCTGTTACCTAACTTTTAACTGGTCATCCCGAAGCTCTCCACTTCTGCTAAAAGGTTGTTAAAAACACTGACTGACGGTCCAAAGGTCCTTAGCTGACCCTTTTTTAGAAAGGTTGCAAAATTAAAGTGGATTGTGTTTCTGATGTCTGTTAAGTATCATGACTGAAACACACGGCTTTCTTCCTTTCTCAGGTTGGGGGGTATGATCACGGCCTACAAGATAGTGCCAGATGAGATCGACGAAATCAAGGTATGTCATATTTCTGTCTTTTTATTCTAAGGTCGATTTGTTCGAAATATTAATTACTCTTGTGTGTGTGTGTGAGCAGGAGACTCTGGTGGATTGGTGCGATGAAAAGGAACTTAACCTCATCCTTACCACCGGAGGCACTGGCTTTGCCCCGAGAGACGTCACACCAGAGGTGGGTTAATGTAGATTTCTCTGTGTTTTGGTTTTAAATGTGTTCAATGTTGAATCTAAAAGAATGTTTGTATTTCATTCGTTGTTGCAAACTGTATAAGAAAAAGCTTGAGAGTAGTATTAAACCCAGGCACATGTTACATAAGAATCAGCGAGTTCAGCTTGCGGTTAAATAGTGACACTGGTTTGATAAGAGGTCACAAGAAGGAACGTAGTGTTACACAACTACAACACAAGTATGAGGTTAGCATATATGTGTCCTAGAGGAAGGTAGGTTTCTCTTGTTGCTGCCCGTGCTTCATTCAGAGGAACTCTGACCGTTTTTTGCTGATTACACATTGTTGCTGATTGTGTTGCAGCTCTGATTAACACAAAGTGTAATTAGCCCCACAGTCACATGGGAAATAAAGAGGCAGAAGTTAGATCATTATTGATTCATTGTTTTATGACAAAGATATGGGATCATGTAGCAAGCAATTCAGAGATAATGGGAGGCAGGTGGCAGTGGGATAGTATAATAAATATATTTTTGTATTGACATATTTCCAAATGGTGCACAAATTAGTTTTTCCTACTAAAATCTGATTTACTACTTTAGATTGTAAAGGCGTGTACACTGCTCTACACAACATGCATGCTATATATAGTTTATATGCCATCAGTTAAAATATATGAACAACTTTTGGGACATTAACATCAACTATTTTAATTTAAATTATGCCAAAACAAATACATTGTCATTGCAGGCTTCATGATGCTTTCTTTCCCCTTGTTATTGCTGGTTGTATGTGGTTTCATTTACAATAACGTAAAATTGAAAGTTTAAAAGTGTGTAAAGTTTTTAACACAAACACACTTGTTGTTTATCTCTATTGTGAAGCCAGTTTACTTCTGTGTACACATGCAAGCCTCAACGTTTAGTCTTTCTGTTTCTTATCTATTCCTTACCTTGTTTGGATTAGCACTGCTATACCTCTCTCTTACATGTACTCAGACAACCTCACTCACACACACACACACAAGCAATTTGGCAGGGGCTGAGCTGTGGTTCTCAGCAGTATCATTGGTCCTCATCAATCATGGCAGACAGCAACCTTCCTGGAAGGGGAAGGACACGTACACACTGTATTCTCTGATAAAAACCTGCTATCTGATTCAACCCTGAATGCTGGAAACAGCGATATCTCTCCGTCTGTCTCTGTGTGTTAAAGGCTGCACACGACACACATGACTGTATTGTGTTTTAGCCAGAAGCAGGACAGAAGTTACAGATTACATGTCATATCTTTATTCTAATCAAAAAGCCTTTGGTATCCTCTCTGAAATAAACATGTAACTTTTTACTTCAACTGCCATGTTTTGCTGTCACACTAAGTACTACATGATGCAGTATTTTACTGTAATTGACAAAAGCCGCTGTCTGAAAGTCCTTATCTGACCTGCGTCCTCCCTTTCTACAGCAGCAATCAAGATTGATGTAATCTTTGAAACCAATATATATTTTTCTTGGTCGGCCCGAAGGAATATAAGAATTAAAAATTAAGTGTTTTTACAACTTGGAATTTCCCAAAATAACCCGTTTTTATATATAACATACAAAGCAGGAATACATGGTTTCAGATGAGGTGCATTTTAAAGTTTTTACGCTCTTTGCAG